ACTCTTTCTACAGCAATTACATGGCTGTTGTACTTGCAACAATTACATTGCTCAAGTTTAGTTGGACTTCTCGAACGCTGAATAGCCAGTAAAAGCAGTTGGGTAAAAGTATTTCACAGAGACTAAAAAAAAATCAGAACGGTTAATGTAATGTGATTAAAACCACTTGCTGGGTAAAGAACATTCTGTAGGATCTAAGTTTAAAAGAGGATGGCATTTCATTTGCTTCCAGTTCATAAAATAACTTCCATGCTATAAAATCAATGCATTGCTCACTTTTTTTCCACCAATACTAAAGAAAGGGTAGAAAGAAAGGTGCAGATTTACTGCTGCCACTTTAATTGCACACTCCAGTGAGCTTCATTTGAAAATGGAAACGCCTGTCACAGGAAGCAGGCAAACAGTTAATGGGTCAACTTCTAGTCATTTAATAGGCTACGCTCAGCCAGATTTGGTCTTGCTGCTCTGCTCAGTAGTTTTCTGAATTCTTGGCCAGCAACTCAGCCAGGGGAATAATGGATTAATAGCATCCACAGCAGAAAGACTGGAAGGGCCAATCTCTTCCTCACATACAGAAGGTGCTACAGAGGGGTCATTCAAATGCAAGTCTGTATAGACACATTTAAGGCATTCTGCTGGAGGTAAACAGGCAAGCAAATCTGCAGAGATGCAATTAGTAGACAGGGTCACAAAAAGAGACCACGATTCCGGCTGTTCTGGTTCCATATGTGAGCCTAGGTCAAGAACAGAGAGACAGACACAAGATCTGGGGGAGAAATAAGACAATTTCTCAGCAGTTGGCAGCAGATGCCAACAGAACAAATAATTCTATCAGAAGTTTGGAAAATCAAGTAAAATCCAGTATTAAAAATATTTTCTTTTTAGAAAGAACAAAGCTCTTTGGGCCAAGAATTCTGCACCTCCTTCACTTCAAAGCTTTTTCGAATGAAACTCAGAATATGAAGAGCTCACACAGAGATAAGACAGCAATGAGACAAGTACTCTTGTCATGTCTAAACATTTACTGGTGACTTCATTTTTAAAGCACTTTTTTCACTTATTGATTCTGCATAGATCAGACCAAAAAGAAATTGTTAATCACGTAACTGATTCCAGATTCCTGCAGGCATAAATGGAAGCAGGATGTGACGAGGTGCATGCAACAGTGTCTCATGACATGCCTGTCATTTCACAAGTGTAACTACCATCATGTAGATCCTGTTGCTGGCTGTTCATAAACCTTTAGCACCTTCAACTATTTCCAGTCACGTGTATTAATGGCAAAGAGATACAAATTGTACTGACAGGATGGGGAAAAAAAAAAAAAAGTCTTGTCCTTGAAAATCCAGGCTTACGACTCTGAATCTGTAATAATTATAGAAAAGGAAAAAAAAATTTTTGAAAATATTTGAAAAATTTCCCCTCACAGCAGTATTTTACAGGCCATTTAAAATCAAAAGTTATAGCCAATATAACTTGATACCACTTTGCTGAATAATAAATTCAACATCAAAGTTGTAAATTAGGACCTGAAGGGTCCTTAAGACCTTCACACTACTCCTATATCTCAGCACAGACTTAACTATGCCTCTGTCACTCATGACAGATGTTTCTCTATTTTGCTCCTAATGATCCCACAACCTCACTACGAGAGTCTACTTCCATGTTGAATTACCTTCACCATTAGAGAGTTTTCTGTATGTCCATTCCACAGTTGAAAATCATTGCTTTGCTTCCACAGATTTTGAGAACAGGCTATTTGCTTACAGCAGTCTTTTACACATTTAAACCCTATTATCCTGCTTTCTTTAAGTCTTTCCTCCTTTACTGGAAGACGTATCTTTAAATCCTCACTGAGGTCAATTTTCCAGGTATCTAATCACTGTCATTACTTTCATTTGCTAATCTCAAGTTGTTCCATGTTTTTCCTGAAATGCAAAATCCTAAACCGGCCACAAGTGAGGCCCTGCCAATGCTGATTATAGCGTAAGGATTGCTCCTTGTGCTTCACAAGCCTTATGCCTGCCTACAAGTCCTGCCGTGATGACTGAATTCTCTTGCAACAGCGCATTACTGAGGTATCTGTTATCCAACACATAGCACACTAGGCTGCTTCAGGCAGTATATACCAAATATATTAATATTAGAGTAGAGATTAGTCTAACTAAACTGGCATTAAAAATTCTTTCTGTAGAAAAGTAATGGATGGCTAAACGATTGTATGCCCTTTAAACTAGAAAATAGTTGTATATTGCTGGTTAGTAAAAGCTCTACTGAAATATCAAGCAGCAACTACAAAATGGTAGGAATCAGTAACACTGTAGTCATATTCATTTATAAAGAATAAGGAATAAACCCAACCTATTTCTTATCGCATGGATAGTGGTAGGAAAAATTTTTTTTTTTTCCTATCTGAATGCCTTTCTTCTGTACTCCATAACATGGAGTAAAGCCAAGCAATGCTTTCCATTTTCAGTTTGGTTATTTTCTCCTTCTCTAACAGTAATTGCAGAAAAAGTCTCCAGTCCGCACCAAACCAATTGCTTCAATTCTTATTAATATCTAATTACTGTGAAACAACAATTAAAGTAAGTTGGCTTGGCAAGTACCCTGCGTTGCAGTAGTGTCCAAGACTGAACACACATGATGATCATAAACTAGCTAAAGTTAGTTTGCTATTCAGCACAACATTTATAATTTAAGTCAAGGAACACTGCCCACAATAACAATGGCTCCCTTTCCACAAACTCATTTTCCAGGCCAACAATACAATAGTTAGACCATTGTTCTCACTGCAGTCTTGATGATGAAGATATGACTGGAATGTGTTTCAAATGCAGTGATATAAAATGTTGATGTATTTCACAAAGATCAAAGAGGAGCAGACATCTATCAGCCAAAAAAGCAACAATATAGCAAAGATAAAGCTAAACAAACTCTGAGAAGATGTACATTCAAAATTTTCATCAGTGAAGGTAATAACTGAGCAGTGTTTGTCATAACTTCACCATCACTAGGTAGTTCCTAAATCAAGATTACCTCTTTATTTTTTTTCAAGTCTGTTTTAACACAAACAGGAATTAACCCATGGAAATTGTGAGATACGTTGTAAGACTAAAGATTCACAGTAGTCTCTTCTAACGTCATACGATCTGAATCTATGCAGGGAGTCCAGTTGCAGCTGGAACTGATATAAAGGCACACTATTTTTCCAAAAAGACTGAAAGTCACTGAAATCAGAGGGTGGTCTGTCAGTCCATATGGTATTTAAGGTAGGTAGACAACTGACTTCGAAAGGAGCATGTGACACCTTTGGCAGCTTGGACAGCTACCTCTCAGGTTTGTATTTTGCATTTACTGCAAGGATATGCACAAATCGAGGCAACGCACAAACTTCGCAAAACTTCAAGAAACGCAAATTACGAAATTACTTTAAAATGTATGACAGGGAAAATGGAAGTACTTATGCACAACATAATCACATGAATATCTGTTAAGGGTTACCAGGAAAAATAATCTTTTCATTCTAGTCTTTCCAGACTTATTTGTACAGCTTATGAAAATCAGTAACAGCTGCCAGTGCCTCTAGGACTTTTTAGCTCATGATTCCAAAATGAAGGTTTAATATACAGAGATATATTTTAATATATACCTATTTTAACCAATGGTATTTAACCAGTGAAACCAAGGGTCACTAGGCTTTTATGACTTCAGAAGAAGAAATTATAGATTAAATAGCAGGCTGCAACTTTTTTTAAACTGTCAAATACATCCAGAAGTAATCAGTGACTCAATGTATAGACCCATGATTTCAGTCATATTTTCTCTGCTAGGAGAAATTATTAACCGAAATCCAGTCACAGACAATGCCTTAAGTAAAAGAACTATATTCTGCCAGGGTGTTTAAGTCACCAGGCAAATCCTGAAAATCACTTTTACTTATTGGAACTTAGCACTATCATCTGCCTTGCATCTTGCAGTTGTGAAAAATACACCAGATACAACTCTGTGTTTGATTGCAAGGAAAAAAAAAAAATCCTTACCCCCAAACAAATGTTACTCAGCCCCAGCAAACTTTTTCAGGAAATTTCCTTCCTAAGTCCTGTAGCATAGGTAAGTAGGTAATTCACAGGACACTCATATATTCAACTATACATAGCAAGCAAGTAA